ATGCACATTAGGTTGCTTGCAAACCGGCTATAAACACCATAAGAAGAAGAAGTAAACTGTAAACGATAGCAAAGAACACTATCATGTATGTGAAAAGCGGGAGAATATTGTTGTGACCGTTGTATCGCAGGTAAACAATTTGACTCCAGTTCGTTACCTGAGACAGTTCACCAACGAGCGACTAACTGCTGATGTTGAAGAAATGTTCGGAGTCTGTTGATCAAAATGTGAAACAGGTTAAAAGATAAAAGACCCTCACCCAACTAGTACAAAGTCGTTGTTGTTTGTGATTTCAGGTTGAAGTGGAACTAAAGGTTGATACACCTCCTATACCGGGCCTTTACAGTGTGACGACCAGCGGAAGTGAGCGAAGGAAGCTGTAGTATATTTAGCTTCGTGGATGTGTGGAGATAAAGAGTTTGGTGTCGACGTATCGTTGAGAAATATTTCAGTTGTAGCCGATCAACAATGTCTTCACTTCAGTCTCTGAGACTTTTCATAAACGAGCGACTAACTGTTGCTGCTGAGGAAATATTCACAGTCTTGGAAAAAACTGTCGTCCAGTACGAGGAAGAGATCGATCGTCAGCGCAGACTGTTGGATATCGTCTGGAAACCCCAAGTAAAGCTGCACAGGACAGGTCTGTAAAACATGAATGATTCTAATGAAACCCACTGGTGAACTGACAGTGAGACGGGAATATGACTCCGCCAGAATTAGAATTCAGAACCATCTTTATTGTCCAGGTGTGTTGGACACACGAGGAGTTAGACTCTGGTACAGTGGCTCTGAATGTGTTTGTACAATGTTCTTCCCTAAAGCAACGAGTTAAGAAGATGAGGCTGAGAGAACAATACAGAAATGTGCAAAGAAGAAAAAGTAATGTGCATTAGGAAAATAAAATACTGTATACATATATACACACATATATATATATATAGTATAGATGTAGTTTTCTAGATATATACGAAGATTTACACAGGGTACTGCACTGAGGGTTGTCGTTCTGTCATACAGTCATGGGTTAAGTGATGGCCTGGGGGAGAAACTGTCCTTCTGTCTGGTTGACTTGGCGTACAGTGACCTGTGTCACCGTACACAGGGGAGGAGTTCAAGCAGGGGTCTGTAGAAATTTTCTCTGCCCTCCTTTTGACCCATGAGGTGTACAGGTCCTCCATGGAGGGCAGGTCGGCACCAGTGATCTTTTCTTCAGTCTTGACTGTCCTCTGGAGTCTGTTCCTGTCGTGTTTGATTGCTGAGCCAAACCAGACAGAGAAGACAGAGCAGAGAACAGACTTGATGATTCCTCTGTAGAACTGAATCAGCAGCTCATGGTGCAGGTTGAACTTCCTGAGCTGGTGCAGGAAGTACATCCTCTGCTGTGCCTTGTTGGTGATTGTGCTGATGTTGGACATCCACTTCAGGTCCTGGGAGACAGTGGAGCCCATGAACTTAAAGGACCAATGCTGATACACTGCTGCCAAGTATGGTGAGGAAGGGTAAGGTAGGGCACTCTTATTAACATCCACTGTTTTTAGCGTGTTCAGCTCCAGGTTGTTGCGACCAC